CTCTTTCCCAGCACTATTATCTCCATCCAGACTTACCGCGACCGAATTTATGTCGGTGACGTCCAAGAGGTAAGAAATATTACTCTTACATTGGTTAAGGTGGAAAAATGTTCTTTCTATGGATCATGGGCTTGTGAATCTGTAGAAAATAACTAGTCTTGGCAAAAATATGAAGTTAGATTGAGCTGCTATCATCTATAAGAACAGGTCTCAGTCCTTCCTCTCATCATCCCTTCATATATCTTCTGGCGATTAATGTGGGCAATGGCCCTTTTTTTCTTTTCTATTGCAGTCTTTCCATTATTGCAAATACAGAAGGGATGAGAATCAGCTCTACATATTCGCAGATGACTGTGTACCTAGATGGCTTACAGCTTCCCATCACGTCGATTTTGACACCATGGCAGGTGCAGATAAATTCGGGAACATCTATTTTGTGAGGTTACCTCAGGATATATCCGAGGAGATTGAAGAAGATCCAACCGGCGGGAAAATCAAGTGGGAGCAAGGAAAACTTAACGGAGCCCCGAACAAAATGGAGGAGATAGTACAGTTCCATGTCGGGGACGTAGTGACGTGCATGCAGAAAGCGTCGATGATCCCGGGTGGATCAGAGTGCATGATATACGGAACGGTCATGGGTAGCTTAGGGGCATTACATGCTTTCACATCCCGAGACGACGTCGATTTCTTTTCTCATCTGGAGATGCACATGAGGCAAGAACACCCTCCTTTGTGTGGAAGAGATCACATGGCTTATCGTTCTGCATATTTCCCGGTTAAGGTAACTCATCAATCCCTTCCGATTTCCTGGAATCTGTTATTCCGAAAACAATCGGGGGTTTATGATTTTTCGTGGTTTTTTTCTGCAGGATGTGATAGATGGAGATCTATGTGAGCAATTCCCGACACTACCGATGGACTTGCAGAGGAAAATTGCGGATGAATTGGATAGAACTCCTGCAGAGATACTGAAGAAGCTCGAAGACGTTAGGAATAAGATCATCTAAAAAGACAAGATCGTTAGTTGTTGTACTTCATCTTTTCTTTTTAGTTATTAGTGTCTGAAGCAAAAGGGCAGAGAGAAGGTATTGGTTTGTAGTAACGGTTTCATTACGCAAAGTTCCAAATCTTGAGACAGAAATTAATGAACCGTTCAGGAGACATTACGGAGCTAAATGCTTACCAGTCACTAACGGTTACATTCTGGAAAATAATCTTGCAAAAGAAAGAACTCGCTACCCGACTCTCAGTACCTTCTCCATCATTGAACCAATCTAAACACTTCATAAACCTTAGGCATTAACGAAAGGGAATCTCGATATTTTCCGGCTAGCAGTGAGCTTTTGCGTGCTCGGGTTTGTGGGTATACTCGTAATCGAGGTGAACAAAGGCCCGTTCTATCTCGGGGAGCAGTTCGAGCTTCTCTTGGAGCGATTCCCCGATGTCGTGTGCCACTTGCAGGGGCATATCTGCAGGCAGGACAATGTCTACTTCCACAAAGTAATGGGAGCCGAAAGTGTATGCCCTGACTGTGTCAATGTGCCTGATGGCTTTGTGGTGGTTCCAACAGAGGTAAGTCAGTTTCTGCAGATATTCTGGCGCTGCCGATTTCCCGACAAGGGAGTTCACGTTTTCCAACACCGTCATTGACCATGTTCGGATTGTGTATAACGCGAGCTGCAACAAAACACGGCAGAATCATAAGGTAACAGGCAGGATATGGCTGTCTGGAAAAGACAGAAACCAGTTAAGAGCCTTTCAGTAGAGATAGAAACAGATATAGTTCCTTACAATGATAGCTCCAACAGGATCAATCCAATCATCGATGTAATTTGCGAGAAGTGCGGCAATAAGTCCAATGATATTCGTGATGACATCAAAGAAGTGATCTTGTGCATAAGCTTTAACAATCTCGTTACTGAAAGATTTGCAGTAAATAACCAGAAGGAACTTGACCAGGGTAACCGAAAGCATAATGCCAATGACCCATCTCTCTTGCTCTTTGGTCAGGTTAAAAGCATTTTCCTATGAAAATACAGAAAAGGAGCTGCATTTAGTACCCCCAAGAACAGATTCAAATCAGCCAAGTGATATAAAAATTCATACAAGGTTAAGGTTGACATACATTTGATATCATAGTGCGAATAGATTCCAAGATAATCTGCAGTCCTAGTGTCGCCATCACTGATGCAAATACAAGGATTCCCTGTAGATTCCATTTCAGACCATATCATGGGAATTAGAAAAGCTTTACACAGTTCATACGGCCAAGAGATGGCTGTACCAAGTAATATATACCACAAGAAGATTGTAACTTGGAAATATAGGTAACCGCATATGAGTTTACATTACATTGGACGATGTACAAGAATCTAGCTTTGGGACGATGCACAAGCAGCACAACCACATATATATGTATATATATCAAGAACATAATTGACAGACATTTATAATTTCCAACAAGAGGATACTAACCAATGGCTGCATTCTTTTCTTCCCAATGGGATACTGATACGGGTTCGGTGTCTGCATCGAGAACGCAGTAAACCACAGGATGAAGCCAGAAAGAAGATCAAGAAGAGAGTCCAATGTGGATGCAATGATGGCTAAAGAACCACTTCTGACAGAAGCATAGACTTTAGCAACGAAAAGAATCATGTTCGCAACATTCGATATCCTTATTGCCAATGTCTCGCTTCTGGCCAACTTCTCCCTCTCTTCCTACGGCCAAACACAAAAGGATACGTATCAATCACAATGGATCTTGAGAACATACGAAATTTTGAGTTTTCAAGAAACACGGGGGAATGGAGAACCAAAGCTATTAACCTTGGACATTCCAGGGACGAAACCACGTTCAGCAAGTGCGTCCATTTCATTAAAACCCTCAAGCATCTCTACTTGCTGCTGGTAGTAATCTGCCACATCATCTTCAGGACCTGAAACCATTAAGATGCATAGAAGAGATTAATCAATAGGACAACTTCATAAAAGATCCAATTTTTTTTCCTCAATGGAGAAGCATCCAGGCGAGGAAAGTCTTTCTAAAGCCAGTTAGCATCCATTTGCTTCTTGATTTCTATACAATAATTGCCGATACACCAAAAACAATTAGGCCCTATCCATGAGGAACCGGGATTCAGCTAAGTTGCAAATTACAACTATATTAACTTCGTCAAGTAAAACTCCCATGCCCGGAGAGGACATAATTGAAGATTAAGAACCAAACTAGGCCTGAATAATCATCAGCATTATATCCCATATTGGCTTAGAGGTCCACAAATTGAGCAAACCCAGGTAGCAACAATGGCTAGTGGTACTGCATTTAGCTGTAGTTGCGAGTAGTACACGATCCAAACACTATGATTCTTGTCCTTTTCAAACTAAAAGATTCCTGAACTCTAAACTTGCTGCTACAACCATTGGATGTCTTAATAATTCGTTCTCTTGGTTCTGTTTTCCCAACAATCTGAGCAGTACCCATCATAGCTTTTGCTTCATACAGACGTACCACTCTCTAAATTCCTCCAAATCTTGAAGAAAACTTGAAATTTCAAATAAAATCTTCCAAGAGTCAAATGCCTTAAAAATAGCAAACTTATGACGCAAAAAATGAATTTATCTTAACCCCAAAATGGAATGCAACGACTACTCTTTCCTCTAGTAAACCCATTTCAAACCAGAACTTCCGCAGCCGTCAAATCTTCGCCCGATGGAGAAGAAACCGAAAAGACCTACCAAAAAAAGAAAGAAGAATAATTAAGCTGGGCATTCGAAAATTACCCAAACAACCAAGGCAATCGTGGAGCTTGTTCGGCTGTTTCTTGTCCTTGTAATCCGGGGAAACCTGGTAATCCTCGAAGTTCAATTGCCATGACCGGTCATTGTTGACTTGATCTCCGAGCAGCGAGATCCCTTCGGCACGATCGTTTGTCACCGGCTCAGCCATTTTCCGGTTAACCCGATGAGAGAGAAAGAGAATCGCTACGGGGCAGTAGAAGTGCGAGAGATTATATTTCGAAGTAGCAGAAGCGAACTTTGTTTACATCAAATGGGGAAGGGGAAAGGGTACAGAACGAAAATTTGAGAATAGTAGGAGGGTAACTTAGGAAATAAATATCTGATTTCGGAACACTGTTGTGGTAGGCATTCAGAGTCAGAGAGATACTCAAACCAGGAAGAAATCATTTCCAAAGTCCACGTGGCGGACTTTGATTGGAAGAAATATCGGGTACGTTTATACACGTGGACGGTTGAGATTGAATCGAATTAGTAGAGATAGATAGAATTAACTGTGAACTGTCCGGGATGGGTCCCAGATTATAATTACTGGAAGCCCTGACAGCCGTTGATTTATTCATATTCAAATCGTACGGTAGAGATTGGTCGAAATTGTGGTCGGATTGCGATGCCAACGTCATCGAATCTACCGGCACGATGCCACGAATACTGGTCAGAAAATTACAGTTTTACTACAATACGCAGTTTTATATATTTATATATATATATATATATATAAATAACTAAATAAATTTAAAAAATACGCTTTATAAAAAAATCGTAAAATGCTAATTTCCGTAAATTAAAAAACAATTAAAATCCAGAACAAATACTCGTACATCTACGGGAATTCTGAAACTCTCTCCACACATCTTGATACGTACAAAAAAACGTATCAAGTCCCTCGTATACATTGTTTTAGATGCTGATCAATTTGTTTTTATATATAAAAGTTAAAACACCGTGACTTTTTATATCTGAAGGCCTTAGCCTTGTATGTAACGTAGAATATTATAGATATATAAAGAGATAAAATCAATATCTCGAAATAATATCATATATTTATATCATAATATTACCATAATATTTTATGATATTTTTTGCATCTCTTTATATCTTTCAATTTATTCTTCATATTTTTTGATACTCCTAACTCAGACTAATTCGAAAGTGAAGGGTTGATCTTTATTTTTACATTAGATTATATATAATGTATTTGACATCAATTTCTCTCTCTTCTCCAATTGTAGAAAGTTACCAGATTTATTTAGATCCGCAATAATAAAAAAAATTAGTTATCTTTTATTTAATTTCAATTTATTTAAATATTTATTTGGATATTAAAACAATATTATAGTAAGAGATCGATCCACATATCTCCTAACAAATTGATATTGAATCATTGATCGTGCATATGGTGAATTAGATAATGTTATTTTTCTATTGTACACACTTTTTTAAAGTGAATACTATTATCGCGTGAGTTGGAATTAGTCTAAGCCTTTGGGTCTGAGAAATCCGGTTACCTAAAAAAATTAGCTTAACTATTTAGATGACCATCTTGATACGCATGACATATGATTTAAAAAATTATTATTATTATTCGGTTAGTTTTAGCTTCATTTACGATTCAAAAATTATATTTAAAATTCATTATAGCTAGTATTTGTTTCGTTTATGAATATAAATATATGGCATTTTTATTGGTTATTATGCTTTTGGCTAATAACACAAGGTAACTCCCAATTCAAATTCCTTTTTTTTCATATTAACGTATTTTTTTTTCTTAGCAAATTATATTCGTAAATTTCTATAGCATTGACTTGGACTTATAGCTTACAATTCCTGACCAAGGACATCGCTTACAGCGACTACGTTCCTAAATTCTATAACAAAATCTAACACTAAATTATATTCCAATATTAAACCATTTGGTTTGACTAGGTCTATGTTAGAAAACTTAATTTGAAAAAATTTCATGAATATTTTATATATTTTAGTGTAGATATGGTTTGATTTCGTATGAATTCCATTTTGTGCGTGATTTCATGCATTGATCCATATTTTATATTTGATGCCAAATTATTACCATAAACATTGCAAATCTTTATATTGTTATCTAGGTAATTCCATAAATTTAGTACCTAAAATATTTTATTATGCATTGACCCATGAATATTAGGAAACAAAATAAATCATTGCATAACGACTAGTCAACAAAAGGGAACTTGTTTTTTTTTTAAGGAAAAAAGAAAACGTTGCAATCAACACAAAATCCAAAATGGTTTTTGATTTTGAACCACTATATTTTGTATAATTACAAAATTAACCGCAAATATTTCATTTTTTGGAGGAATATTTAAGAAAAAAATCAAATCAAACAATAATAATTACTATCATCTATCAAAGGGATAAAGCCATACATTATCATGTCTCCTCTAACTTTGCAAATAAAAATCATCCCCAATTTTGTTATATTGTTTTGTAAAACAAAATTTCACAAGGTTAATTCAGTCGATTATTTTAAAATAACTTATGTTGGTCGTCATATTATCTAAAAAAGGAAATAATTATTTATTTGTCATAAATATTATTTATACACATTAAATGAGGAAAATCATTAACGTTGTTAAATTTCTTCCGTTAATCTTCTGTCTTCAAATACTATTCTGATGAAATGCCGTTCAACTTTCAACAAACACACATTGCAAATTCTTTAGTGCACATTTACATGATTACTAAATATATATATATATATACATACATACATATATATACAAAGTGCTCCAAGGACGTAGAAATAATTAAAATTAATTGTTAAGCCTTGAGAAGAAAAAAAAAAGAATTGTAAAATTTGCTGCTCGTCACTCTTCCAATCTTCTTCCCTTTCTTTTTCGATGCGCTTTCCCGTTTTCTCTCTACAGAGGGGAAAGATCTCTGTTGGACGATTCTCTCCTTGTTTCTCACTCCGTAAGTCCCAAATCTCTCTCTCTCTCTCTGTCTCTCTCTCATATGTTGATATTGGCCGGAAAAACCCTAGAGAACCGTTCGTGTCCTTTGGTTTATCTGCTTATTAGATTGTTCTGTCCCTGCTTCGGTTTCTGTTTCGAGTTCTGTTTCCTTTTGGTGCTTAGTGTCGTTCGCTTTCTATTTTCCTTGATCAGGGTATCTCTGGGTTGCTTTTTTGTATCGATGAATTTGCTTATTTGATTCTTCGGAATTATTACTTTGTCGCTTGTAATCTTTTGGGCTACTGTTGTTCCTCGCTGAATTATTCATATTGATGTGTAGTAACTGTCGTTTCCAGTGTGATTTTTGTCTATGCAGTTCAGCTATTTGCTCTTGTTGTGTTCGATCTGATGCTGGTCTCGTCGTACTTTGATATCGAGTTCATGATTGAGTGGGATTTGATGGGTTTATCTTGGAATGTATGAGAAGATTCTGGATCAGATGTGGATGTGATATCTCATATCCGTCACTAAGCTGAAGTGGCTACGGCTGAAGCAACACGGTTTCATGAGAATTTAGCATAAGCCGAATGTTCAAGTAGCTCGAGACTTCGTTCTATTTTGGGCTTTAGTTAAGTCTGTGTAGGTATACAGAGAGTTGGCATGGTGGGAAGAGAAGATGTGGCCAGCAATGGTCAGGCTCCTCCCGGATCTAAGAGAATGTTCTGGCGCTCAGCCTCTTGGTCTGCCTCGCGAACTGCATCTCAAAATCCTGAAAATGAGGAGCAACATTTAATTGCTCCGATTGGGAGTAGTTCTTCTAGCGGCAATGGGCCGAATCGGAGATGCCCAGCAGCCCCTTTAACGCCTCGGTCACAGCAAAACAGCAAGGCTAGAGCTTGTTTGCCACCTTTGCAGCCTCTATCCATTGCCCGCAGGAGTTTGGATGAGTGGCCTAAGGCGGGTTCCGATGATCTTGGGGAGTGGCCGCATCCGCCTACCCCAAGTGGGAACAAGACTGGAGAGAGGCTGAAGCTTGATTTATCGTCCACGCAGCGGATCCTAGATAAGGGCCATGGTCAAGCTAAGAGGGATAAGATTGCTTTATTTGATAAAGAATGTTCGAAGGTGGCAGAGCATATATATTTAGGTGGAGATGCTGTAGCCAAAGACAAGGATATACTGAAACAGAACGGAATCACCCATATCCTGAACTGCGTGGGTTTTGTCTGTCCAGAGTATTTTAAGTCTGATTTTGTGTACAGGACATTGTGGCTGCAGGATAGTCCATCAGAGGATATTACTAGCATTCTTTATGATGTTTTTGACTATTTCGAAGATGTCAGGGAACAAAAAGGAAGGATATTTGTTCACTGTTGTCAGGGGGTTTCACGTTCTACCTCTTTAGTGATAGCATATCTGATGTGGAGAGAAGGGCAGAATTTCGATGATGCGTTTCAGTATGTGAAGTCTGCCAGAGGTATAGCTGATCCTAACATGGGCTTTGCTTGCCAATTGTTACAATGTCAAAAAAGAGTTCATGCTTTCCCACTTAGCCCCACATCCTTACTTAGAATGTACAGAATGTCCCCGCACTCACCTTATGATCCTTTGCACCTTGTTCCAAAATTGTTGAATGATCCATCTCCATCATCCTTGGATTCAAGAGGTGCATTTATCATTCAAATACCCTCTGCAATTTATATTTGGGTCGGGACCAAATGCGAAGACATCGTGGAAAGAGATGCAAGGGCTGCTGTTTGCCAGATCGTCCGATATGAGAAAGTAGAAGCACCTATTTCTGTGATCAGGGAGGGCATGGAGCCTGCTTATTTTTGGGATGCTTTTATGAATATGTTACCCATGATGGACAAGTCAGGAGAAAGAGATAAGATTGGGGAGTTGTTGGTTAAAACACCACCAGGTAACAAGAAGGTTGACACATATAATGTCGATTTTGAGATAGTCCAGAAAGCCATTGTCGGAGGTTTTGTGCCTCCCTTTGCCTCGTGCAATGATGAAAATGAGACTCATCTTCCTGCAAGGGAAAGTAGTTGGAGTTCACTGAAATGTAAGTTTGCTTCAAGGTTTGAGAAGACTTCCATGACAGTTACCAGACCACCACTTTCTAGGATGTATTCTGATTCTATGATGATAGTGCATGCCTTGTCACCTGCATCAACCTCCTCCTCCTCCTCATCTGCTTCACATCCTTATCTTTCTGTAAAATCTGTGTCTGCAGATTCAAGTACTAATCCAAAGAATGTCTCAGAGCCTTCTGGGCATTCGTCCTTGAGCTCTTCTTGTCCTCTTTCACCATCTTCAACGCTGCCCAACTTGTCCAACCTCTCTCTCTGTCCATCCCAAACTTCGCCTAATGAATCTAGCTTTCTAGGAAGCTGTGGTGTGGACAATTCTTTACAGCCTCGCATTGAACCGTTCACAGATAGAAAGGTTTCACCTTCTCTAGCAGAGCGTCGGGGCAGTCTGTCAAAGTCCCTGAAGCTGCCGGTTTTGACTGATTCCAATAGAGGCAAAATTCCTAGTGGTCGCAATTTATGTCAGGCAGGTAGTATAGATATTGTCTTCAACTTGGAGGGTGTTGGAAATGGAGATGTGGATCCAAATAGCGATTGCGCAGAGAGAATTCCTTCCGCCAGAATTATAGATTCTATGCCGCAGAAGGAAATGGTTTCCTTAATCGACTGCAGTGAACCAGAGAAGCATTGTCGTTCAGGACAAACTCTAGGTTCTGTTCTCTCACACACGACGGGTAATTATGAATTAGGAGACTGCAACTTGAGGCATCCTGTAGCATGTTGGTGGCCAAGCATGGACAGAATTACGAAATTTAGGAGGTCTGATCTAGATTCCAAATCTGTTATAGTAGTTTCTTCGCAAAGTGACATCATTGGACAAACCGGGAGGGTTTTGCATATTTGGATAGGAAGCTCGTTTGAGAACAACCAGTCTCAGATAGATAGCAACAACAAGGTGAGCAATACGCAGAAGGTCGACTGGGTTCAAGTTGGTAATGATATATTACGTCAGATGGATTTGCCAAAGGATACCCCTGTAAAGGTAATGACCAGAGTTTTTGTTACCGATAATTATTTCTTGTTTATGGGTTTGCTTTTTAGCCTTTTTGATTCTGCATTTGGTTCCTCACCATTGTTGCTTAATGTCTTTTACCCTGGAAATAGCTTTGGAAATTGTGGTTTCTTTTTCTTTTTCCTTTTTGCTCGAATCTTAAATCCTAATCATAGATAAATCTGTTTTGTAAACTAAGAGGAGATGAATATTAGCCCTTTCGTTTGTCGTAGTCAGAATATCTAAAACTTCGTCCATAGATATGTAATTTTCTTGGTCTGTTATTTCCGAGTAGTTGAATCTCTACGTTTCCAGGAGATTTGCTTTTGCTTTTCATTGGGAATGCAAGTAGCAGTTCATAAGGTTATGTGCTGGGTATAGTGTAGTTGTTTTCTCTAGATTGTCTCCATTTGGTTGTTGGCATTTGACCTAAAATAAGTATGGATGGGTCGAAGTGTATGCCGTGCCATCTATCGGTATGATCTCTTTTTCAATTACTGAAGTCGTGTTTGCTCTAAACCATATAGATTTCAAGCTTTTAACGTTTCTTTCTCCGTATTTGTTCAGATTATGAGGGAGGGTGAGGAGCTGACATGTTTTCTTGCACTGCTGAGTGCGTTGTAGTAGCTGCTGCTCGTTCAGGATATCCTCTCTTCATAGATCCCAACCTCGATATTTTTTCAACTTTCTCCACAGTGCTTGATGTCTACAAAACCACAACAGGTACTAAGCTTATAACTCCCCCCCTGGCTCTATGTTTCATTATCCCAATATTTTTTCGTGGTTGTTTCGGTATGGGAATCTAGAAAGAGAATTGTGATTTTTCCGTTCCATGTGACCTGTCTTTGTTCTTGCTGCAAATGCAAATCCTTGGAGAGAATGGTTTAAGACAGTTTTCGGGTCTAAGCAATGTATGTATAAATCAATGGGTTTGCCAGTAAGTGTCTGAACTCGGAAGCCCTCGTTCCAGTTTTTGCTGTGGACTCCATACTTAATGCTTGCGTTTTCTTTCTTCCTGCAGGAGGAGACTCTGCTCGCGAAAGTCCCGTTTAGGAAATACACCCTCTCTTTTGTACAGAAAAAAGAGAGAGCAAAAGAAAGACTTCCCCTTTAACCTCAAAGGTTGGTTGCTTATCCAATGAAATTCTAAAGTAGACTAATATTCTAGTTATGAACTCTTACAATGTTACAGATACTCTGAAAAGATAGTAACCCTCCCCAAGTAGATTCGGGTTTTTCGGTTATATCGGTACAACTTTTTTCCGGTTCTTTAGGGTTTGAATTCCATCTAAACCGAAATTAAAAATGCGGTTAACTGACAGCATCCTTGGATGATTTTTCAAACCGGTTTTCTGGTTCAAAGCAGGAAGACAAAGCTGCATCTTTTAAGGTTTGAGCTCTCAGGAGGATCCTTTCCAAGAGATTCAGTTGAAACATGATTTTCATAGTATTACTGCATGAATTGCACCAACGATTATAAAACTATCCCTATAACTATAAGCACATCCATGATTAAGTAGTAAAACAATATATCCCTATTTTCGTTTCATTGGATAATCATTCAAGTGGACCGAACCAAATTCTAATGCTACCGGTTTGATTTGATTTGGATTCTAACCGGAACCTGTTCGAAGTAAACCAAATTCGATCGAGATACCAAGTGGAATTCCAATTTTAACATATATTGACATAATTGAATGTTATAGTTCAAAATATGGATCTTCTAGCTTGCTAAACCAAGTTCTCTATATATTTTATTATAAGCGATAATTAATTAACTCTAGGAATATTAATTTACATTAACTGAAAATCTGCCTACGATTAGTGATAAATAATTCACTTCTTTATGAACTTTAATGGGCCGACCGATATAGTGCAACATATTATATGGGCCTGAGCTTTAGGATAAGAATCTATTGGGCTAAGTTCGTTACATCGGCCCATTGCTTCTGCCATATATAAAAAGATCATCCTCTCTCCTCGGCGGCGGCCAAAACCCTTCGTCATCTGCGGCAGCTACTTCAGGTTCGTCCTCTTCACCTCCTTCTATCAATTTGTGAGTTCGTATGGATTAATCCAGATTTAGTTAACTTCAGCATCGAATTTATCGGTATGGCAAAGAGTTGTGGGACAGATTCCGAATCCATTAGCCAAAGCGATTGGATCTCAGAGCTTGAATCTTCCAATCTAAGTGTGCTGTTTTTTTTCTTGGGGTTTGTGTCAGGTTTAGGAGATTTGGTGGAAAGGATAGATTCTGAGCAATGTCTCCGGCTAAAGGTGAGAACCTTTGCTTTGTGACTCGCGTGGTCTTGGTACCTGCGTTGATTTGGAGTTTCCTTTGAAGGGTCCTGTAAAAATCATTAAGTTGTTACATCTGTATATGCCTTGTCGAAGATTTTAAATTTAAATAATTTAAGAGAGTTTCTCTGCAAAATGGGTCACGATTTTTAGGTTTTTGAGTTTCTTGGTATGACAGCGATTTTGATCTATGGTTTTGGAACCCAGAGTTTTGTGAACGGCAAATGTTAACAAGCAATAAGCTACATCCCATCAAAGTCGGCATTACTCTTGAATATGTTTTGGGTAACTAGCAGGATCTTTGTAAAAATGGCTCAAAATGGTTAGTGATGTGTTACTTGTGACGTTTAGCTTCAAAGTTGAGCTACTTGTTTGCTTATATACCCACCCCTTGAACCCCGGATTCATCTTGATGAAAACCTAGTATCAGATTTTCTTGTTCTTCTCTTAAAGTTAAAACTGTTAATGGTTCTCAAATTCATGGCAAATGCAATGCTGGTGGCTAATATTCGCCTGTGTTACTGTCTAATATGCTTCAGTTCTCATTGTTATGCAGTTGATAGTACCAAAAAGGCCGATCCCAAGGCCCAGGCCGTGAAGGCCGCAAAGGCGGTGAAATCTGGTCAGATTGTTAAGAGGTCAGCCAAGAAGATAAGGACTAAGGTGACCTTCCACAGGCCAAAGACATTAACCAAGGCGAGAAACCCCAAGTACCCGAGAATCAGCGCACCCCCGAGGAACAAGTTGGACCACTACCAAATCCTAAAGTACCCTCTCACTACCGAATCAGCGATGAAAAAGATCGAGGACAACAATACCCTTGTGTTCATTGTCGACATTCGTGCTGACAAGAAGAAGATCAAGGACGCTGTCAAGAAGATGTATGACATTCAGACCAAGAAAGTTAACACCTTGATCAGGTACATTGGAAGGAAACAGAAGTTTCACTCTCTAGATTTCTTTGTGATGATTCATGAGTTGGAATTTCGCTTTTCTTCGCATTTCGGAAGAAGAACTGATTTGAGTATCCTTTTGTGGTTTCTGGTTGAAGGCCGGATGGAACGAAGAAGGCTTACGTGAGGCTCACTCCCGACTACGACGCTTTGGACGTGGCCAACAAAATCGGCATCATCTAAGTTATATTGTCATTGCAATTATATGAAACCCTCCCTCTTTATCATGAATCAGTTTTTGTTAGGAATTTAATGTTCCATTATATGAACTTATGGTATTATATGTCTAAAAAAACCATACATTCTCCTTTCACTTAATTTTCGAAATTTTATTTATACTTGTTGCTAGATTGTTTGTTGTATTTGTGATTGTTGCAAGTATATATTGCAAGAGCAATGTACATTTTAGCCTCATGGAAAACCTCATGGAAATCACACCAATTTGGATTAGCCTTGGTTTTGTTCATGGGTTTTGGGCTTCCTTTCAAAAGGCACGTGAGCTGCACGTGAGGTTATCCATTTATCTGTGTTGGAAAACATGTGAGATTGAAAACAAAGGAAGGAAAACCCCCTTATCAAGTCTTTGCCGCAAGGGGGGGGTATGACATTCTCTTGCTTTTCTGGTCAGTATGTCAGTCTCTTCACTCTCACTGGGTTATGTCTCAACAACAAAATCCAACAAGGTAATATGTTGTAAGAGATTCTCTACACTCTGCATTCTGGTTTTCTTTTTTTTTTTCCATCAGTCAACTATCTTTGATTCTTCTTCTTCTTCTTCTTATAATGTTTATCTTTCAGACAGACATCGCCTGTCCAAGTTCTTCATCCAGAGCTTGTTTGCTTTCTCCATGTTGCAAGGTTGAATCCTCAGGCAAACCGATTCCCTCAGAGAATCGTAAGAGAAATGGAAGAAAACCCTTTCTGTTTTCACTTCTTAATTGGTCGATCGTCTCATTTATCTGTGCAAAAAATCATGGATTTTTATTTGGGGGTTTCTGGCACTGGTTTGTCATGTGTTCTCTCCTCTGAGATAATTGAGCAAAAATGGAATTTCACCTCCATAACCAAATTTTATTTCTCTCTTCACATCACAAAATTCACAAATCTTTTTTTGTTATTGTCATTGCGAAACAGGAACCTCGATGAATTGCAAGAGAAGACTAGCTCTGCTGGGGGCGGGGACCTTAGTGGCAACTACAGTTCCAGCAAGCTTTCTTCTCGCTGAAGGTATCGTGAATCAGCTCTTGCTTCTCATTGATCATATAACGTAATTATCTGAAAGCTTTAGCGGGTTGAATGTAAAGAAAACGAATGTAAATCATCAAGGTACATGATACTTGTACCGAGGTTCTTATGAGCTGAATTCTTGTTTGATTGATATTTCCTGCATAAAATGTCTACAGAGGTAGTACCAAAGAATTTTACGCCTTTTGTGGATCGTCAAGACGGGTATTCTTACTATTATCCATCGGATTGGAGGGTAAGCCCTCGTTTTTTTTTTCTCAGACCGAAAGTTCTTGTATATACTGAAGCTTGAGATATATATATAATCTTCTTCTGCTCATAGGAATTCGACTTCAGGGCTCATGATTCAGCCTTCAAAGACAGGTACATGCAGTTGCAGAATGTTAGAGTAAGGTTCATACCGACAGATAAAAAGGACGTCCGGGATTTGGGTCCTATGGAAGAGGTATTAAAAAAAAAACGAAGCCCTCTCAGATTTTCGTCTTTCTCGAAATATTAATGTCATCTCTTCTCTCCGTTTCATCAGGTAGTTTATGATCTGGTGAAGCATATATATGCTGCACCAAACCAAGTAGCCACCATATATGATATGAAAGAGGTTGGTTTATATCTCAGTGAAAGTCTTCTTACATCTGATCTTATCTTTGAAAAGAAATGTTCAAAATCGGGTTTTTGTCATTACCAATCTATATATGGTCCCAGATTCTTCCGAAATACTCATTGATGAATCGGAAGAATGTAGGAGTTAGTCTAAGTGTTTTCCTAACTCGCTCTCTCTTTGTCAATCTCTTGTCTGATCGATTCAATTCACTCTGATAAACGATGCAGCGAGTCATCGACGGTAAAAGCTATTACACGTTTGAGTATGGGCTCGCCTCGAAGAACTATGCAACCACTTCCTTCGCAACGATAGCTATCGGAAACAGTAAGCAACAAAGGAGAAAAAAAAGTTTTTTTTTTCCGGGTCGAACTGAGGAACTGCGATTTCGACATGGAGATACAGAGTTTAAACAAGTGGTGTTTTCTGATTGTTTGTGCAGACAGGTACTACACACTGATAGTTGGAGCAAATGAGAGGAGGTGGAGAAGGATGAAGAACATGCTCAAAGTTGTTGCTGAATCCTTCAAGGTTCTCGATATTTGATTCTCCGTTTTTTTTTTCCTTTCGAGTTCTTACTCGTTTCGGGTTTCGCTCGTTTCTCTGAGTTACATATCTGTAGATATATACGACGAAGCGATGCTACATATATAAGCCATTAGGTAATCTCAAATGTTACAGCATATCTCCCACCATTTTCGTTGCTACAAAAAGAACAGAACCTGAAAAAGTAGGGGAGTGTTTTCATCAATGTCTGATGTTAGATGATGAAGAAGAGGTCACTGGTTTAGCTCGGATCGATTTTCTGCCTCTAACGAGCGATAAACTCTTTAGAGGTCTCTGGTTCGAATTCCGCATAGATAGCGAAGCTTTCTTATAGTTAGGGGTGGAAATGAGAATCCGAAATTTTGAGTATTACGATCCGATCGGAGTCGTAAGTCGAGTATTTGAAATTCGGGTAATCGTCCACCGGTGGGTCCAGTATGGTCTAGCGACAGTGAGAATCCGACTTTTTGGATTTACGTTCAGGTTTTAAACGGTGATTATTCATACCGCGGATGATCCAAGTCGAAGGGGCGAGAGGGCTGAGGATGATTTTGGAATTTTGTTCGACATTAGTATCATCGCTCGCTCCTTGGGTACGTCACTCTTTCTTCACCTCGACTTCCCGGGACTGCCCTCGTTCTCTTTCACCTCCTCGTCCTCCTCTTCTCTTTATTCGCCTCGACACTTTGACTCATCCTTTCACCTCGCCTCATTGTCGGCTTGACCCCTTGCTTTGGCACCTCACCCTTGTCAGCTGGATACCCGAGAATTCAAGACACCTTGTGGGTACCTGAAATTCGGATACCCAACCTCGCAACGCCGCCGAAACAAAAAAAAAAAAAAAAAAAGACAAATCCGGATACTCGACCCGCATATAATTTCGGGATTTTCCACCCTCATATTGAACATATTACAAACTAAAAGCCTCGAAGAGTTGCACAGCTTTCTCGCACAAGAAATCCAGATTTCAAAGAGATGAGTAAATCGGCACACCAGGGAGAATGGTCCCTGAATCCGCAACGTATATATTACCGGTGACGTACTCTGAAGAATCATGGATCAGATACCGTACCAGAGACGTTATCGCTGGATCCACTGTTCCGAACTCCTTCAACGGCACTATCCTGTCCGCTATATTCTTCAGCCATGGCTGTTATCTCTGACCGGAAAAGTCCCGGAGCTATGGAGTTGACCCTAATCTTATGCTCCCCCAGTTCGATCGCCATCGTCCTCGTCATGGTATCCATGGCGGCTTTTGAGCAACTATATGCTATTCCTCCGTGAAACATCACTCGGTTAAGACCTGCAATTGATGACAGAGCCGCCGATTTTGGATTCGCGCATTCGGATGCAGACGAACTTCGACACTAACCATGAACCGGTTAGGTTTGTCCTGAAGACACGATCGAACTCCTGTTCCGACAAATCTAGACTCATTTTGGAAGGTCCTGTGATTCCGGCGCTGTTGATCAGCGCGTCGATTCTCCCAAACATGTTCCAAGCCTTCTTCACCGAGGCTTCAATGGCGGCTGCGTCTGAGCAGACATCGAGCTCGAGAGGCATGGCTCGTGGCGGCGACTCCGCGGGAACTGTTCTATTGATTTCGTCGCATAGGGATTTGAGGCGATCGGTTCGACGAGCTGCGGCTATGACTCTGCAACCGGCTCTGCTCAAATCGAGACAGAGCTCTTGTCCAAGACCTGAGGAAGCTCCCGTGACTAGTACCACTTCGCCGTTGAGTTCATGCCATGGTTCCAGTTGCCTTGAAACCTTGTTTTTTTTATAACAAGATGCAGATGAAAAAATCAGATTCCATCAGAAAGAAAGAAAGAAAGAAAGAAAGAAAGAAGATTCAGAAGAAGAAAAAACAATACTGCACAGAAATTCGATCGAATCATGAAAATCAATATATCAACATCGAGATGTATATATATGTATGCATACACGCGCATATATATATATATATATATATATATATATATATATATAAAAACAAGCCCACGTAAAAAATAAGTGTTAGAAAAACTCACGGTGTAGTTGCTCATCTTGTTCATCTGTTGTTACAAAACCTGCAAGTTTGAGTATGAATAAGCTTAACAAGTTACGTAAACAATGCATATATAAATCTTTTTCCCACTCTCAGAAAAATAAAACGTGAACGTTGACCCTTTTGTATTAAAGAATCTATGGGGGCAAACAAAACGTGGAATAAGAAACCACGGCGAGACACGCTCCATGTCAACTGATATTCTAGATCGAAGTACATGTAAATATCCCTTCTTAAATTCAGAAGTTCGAATTCAAAGCTGGCCACCATTTCACCGGTTTAACCACCCAAACGATGAATTCTGTCTTGATTTGGACAGCGCCGTTTGCAAAATACATAAAATCAATAGTATTCGTTTCCGTAACCGAAAACCGGATATTCATCCACTGACAGGACAAGAAACCGAGCTTCAGATTCGGATTTGGGAGTCGGACGGCGACAATCCATACCTGTGGCTACCGTCACCGTACATATAAATATAAAATGTACATGGCATAATGATTTGAACGACACTGTATAGGACAATACAATAGGAGCTATTACATAGTTAATAAATACTATATAATATACTAACTTTGGGTTTGAGCTTTTACCATTGGAAAAAGATGGTTTCTGTCATTCAAAATGGTCTTTATCTGTCGAGGAGAAGAGATGAATGAACAAAAAATCAATCTCAGACTCTGCAATTGTAGTTTTACGCAGCAAACTCTTAACAATGTTATTGGAGCGTGGTGGAAGTGTTCAATATCAAATGAAGAAAGTGAAGAAGCTCTCTCTCTCTCTCTCTCTTCACTATGAGATCTTGAAGGAGTCTACAACGGCATGAAGCCTTTCTTTCATCTTCTCCCACCTTCTCTCGTTGGCTCCCGTCGTCAAAGTGTAGAATTTCCCTGCGGAATATAACGTTTTCCACGTAAAAAAACAAAACACGAAAGGGTATGTCGGGATTATACCAGGCTCGAGAAACTCTGAAAGCTCTCGAATAAGCTTCGAGCGTCGAGCGGATTACCGTCGGAAACAGTGATGGCGCTGAGAGCATGACGGGTGTAGTTTCTAGCTTGAGCCGTGAACTCGAACTGGTAGTACGTTTTTCCATCAACGTCATGCTGAAAAAAGCAGGCAGACAAACAAAAAAAGTACCCGAGTTTTCTTCAAAATTCCACCAAAAAAACAGAGTGATTTCTTCCTCTTTCGAGATACAAAGTGATGGGAGTCGTTTATCGGGGGGCGGGGGCATACATACCTCAGATGCCTCGATAAGGTTTGTTTTCTGATTCATAGGAGCCAGAACTTTCTTTATGAGTGTTTCAGCAACCTGCTGAGGAGGGCCAAACTCTTTAATGGTCTGCTTGTTCGTCGGGAACAGATTCACACTGACGCTTTCTAATGGCTCGATCACGTCTTTGAACACCTTGTCTTGACCCGCAATTGCAACTTCCTGAACACCCAAAAACATAGATTTTTTTTTTTGTACAAACCCAATATTCGACTTCTGCAATAGCACACCATGAGAGCATAGGAATGTGCATCAACATTACCTGCCACCCGAACGGATAGAGAAAGGAATACCCATCTTTTTTGTCATACACAGCGATGAAACCCTTTTTCGTTTCTGCAGCAACTGAGCCATATCAATCTTCTTAGGATATCAGCAATAACTCTTCGGAGTAGAAACTGTAATAAGCTAACCCTTGATTTCATTTCAGCATAGGTGGATTGAAACAAGCTCCAATTGTAACATTCGATGACAAAAAGTGAAAACTCGAGGGCATTATCTACGATGGATATATACGTACATGAAGGTTGAGCTTCGCTGAGCAACGAGATACAAGGGGCAATGACACCGAAGGACATTATTTGGCGCCTGCTACATTTATCTGGAAATGAAGACAGAAATTTTATAAAACCCGAGAAATGAACACGGGCTCCCTCCCTTTAAAATGACCGAGAGGCTCATAAATATAGGAACTGCAATGCCATAGCCAATAACCCTTTCTTCATTATGTATTCAGGGAAAGATTTAGATTTCTGAAATGGAGGACACAGTGAGAGATTCCTAGGAGAACTACCATCAAGTACAGTGCTCTTCAGACAAATAAAGAAGCTCGAAACATCAGAGACTTTTCGACATGAGAAGCAACTCGTTTAAAGGCTCTGAATTTTCTTGGGACAACCTTTTCCACAGACAACCCAACATTGAAACCAAACCAAAGCATATGATGGACCTAGTGCTTACAGAATCATTAAGTTCAGATAATCACATTCAAGAGCTCAGACAACAGAGAGAATTCAAACTTTTCAATGCAGCAGTAATCAAAAGGAGGCCAATTCATGATTCATGAAACCAAATTGAAGGGCTAAGAAAGTGTGGAGAACTGACCTTGAAGAACATCAGAAGCTGAGAAATGAGGAGCTTGTTCTGACCTTACAACCAGAGAGATTCTTCTCCTACCAACAAACCCCCCATTCCTCTGTAACCATACCACAGAATTAGAAACGAAGAAAGAAACCCAAATTCGCAAATTTTCAACAAAATCGAAAAACACCCACTTTACTCAATGTCGATATACACATCAGTACACAGATATATACAAATATAGCAAGAGATGATGGTAAGAGAAGCATTGAACCTTGGGGATGGAGACCGGCGGAGAAGGTGAAAGCTTCAGAGAAGCCATTGACGTTAATGGTCTGTTCTTGTCACTCGCGAAAACAAGCTTTTATCTGTCGAGAAAGCTCAACAACTCTCTCTCTCTCTCTCGGTTTTTGTGGCAGAGAGCGTCCCTAATCCATTCCGTGTTTTCCGAGTTTATCCACAGAGAAGCTTCCTTACCTCTAAAACCCCATTTCGCATTCGTTCTTTTGTGAATTCTCTGATTAATATCACCAACCACGGTAATACGTAATTAACATGAAAAGCTAAGAAAATACAAGGAAAAAAAAAAGAAGCTGAAGTTTTGAACTTTCTTTCCCTTTCGATCATCAATCAAGGACATGAGAAGAAAAGGCAATAAAACAATCCACTGAAAAACACGAACTCGAATCCAACATAGCATCACAAGAGAACGGAGATAGACTGGTTTTTGCCGCACAGTTTCTAAGACAACAACTTGAAAGATGAAATTTCCCAGCAAAACTCAGCAACTCTGCGGGAAAACGAAGCTCCGATCACGAAACTAGCTACTACTTAGATGATGCCGATTTTGTTCGCCACGTCCAAAGCATCGTAGTCTGGGGTCAACCTCACGTAAGCTTTCTTCGTTCCATCCGGCCTGCAACCACCATTGTTCAACTCTGCATGTTAGATCAACCGAGGTAACAATCTTGTTCATACAAACTTCTGTTTCTTTCCGAAGTACCTGATCAAGGTGTTAACTTTCTTGGTCTGAATGTCATACATCTTCTTGACAGCGTCCTTGATCTTCTTCTTGTCAGCACGGATGTCGACGATGAACACAAGGGTATTGTTGTCCTCGATCTTTTTCATCGCTGATTCAGTAGTGAGAGGGTACTTTAGGATTTGGTAATGGTCCAACTTGTTCCTGGGGGGTGCGCTGATTCGCGGGTACTTAGGGTTTCTCGACTTGGTCAATGTCTTCGGCCTGTGGAAGGTAACCTTAGTCCTTATCTTCTTTGTCGACCTCTTAACGATCTGACCAGATTTCACAGCCTTTGCGGCTTTCACAGCCTGGGCCTTGGGATCGGCCTTTTTGGTACTATCAACTGCATAACAATGAGAACTGAAGCATATTAGACAGTAACACAGGCGAATATTAGCCAACAGCAGTGCATTTGCCATGAATTTGAGTACCATTAACAGTTCTAACTTTAAGAGAAGGGCAATAATATCTGATACTAGGTTTTCACCAGGATGAACCCGGGTTCAAGGGACGGGTATATAAGCAAGCAAGCAATTCACCTTCAAAGCTAAACGTCATAAGCAATACATCAATGACAATTTTGAGCCTTTTTCACAAAGATCCCGCTAGTTTCGCAAAATATATTCAAGAGTAATGCCAACCCTAATGAGATGTAGGTTTTTAATAACTAATTGGTAACATTTGCTGTTCACGCAATTCAGGGTCCCAAAATCATAGTTCAAACTCATTGCGATAACAAGAAACTCAAACCTAAGAATCTTGTCTCATTTTGCGCAGTAACTCTCTTAGTATCATAAAATAATAATCAAACAATCATCCATCTGTCGTTCACCACGAACACAACAGATAAACTCACATGAAGAGCATAACAGAAAGCATCGTCATCATTTCATGAGCCAAAATTGCAATCTTCGACAAGCAATAGACAGATGTAACGACTAACGAGATAATGTTTTTACAGGACCCTTTCAAAAAGCACTCCAAGAACCAAACAAATACCAACAACGCAAGAGTAACAACGCCAAAAATCGTACCTTTTGCCGGAGACATGGCTCAAAATCTATCCTTCCCACCAATTCTTCCAAACCTGAGACAAACCCAGAAAACCAAACCGCTTAGTTTAGAACATACGACACCAACCAAGCAAAGATTCAAGCTCAGATAACCAATTGCAAGGACTACTACATCCGAAACCATTTCACTATACCGCCAATATACGACTTCACAAGCAAAGTTAACTAAACTGGAGATATCAACCGGTGAACGAAACTATAAGAGGAGCCGAAGGTGATGATAGATTAAGCACCTGAAGTAGCAGCGTCGGACTCAGCGCTTCGGCCGTCGTAGAAGAAACATGATGATGGTTTATATGGCCATAGAGATGGCCGAAGCAGAAAACCTAGAATATTGGGCCTTAACCCTAGAGCCCAATTCCACATATACATTTTAAATACTTTATAAAAGTCGGCCCATATCAAGCCCAAAAGGGTAGAAACAGTGGGACCCGCGAACCCCAACCAATAAAAATGTTTAAATATCCACGTTCCATTTTATTTTTTTTTAAATAATTAGCACCGGAACGGTCGGTCTCCTAAATCCTAATGAACCTCATTCACCGCCACACGATCATCCCTCATCTGGGTCCCACCCTACCACCAACAAATGGTCGGCGACCGTAGGATGACCTTTTGACCGCCAAAACAAATATCCACCATACACGTGGTACCGGAGAAACATGGCCGACACGTGGCGTCATCTCAACCTGCTCCCCCCTATTATTGCTCCTCACCAGGAACACCACTTTTTGCCGGGTCTCTTGCAGTTCTTTCCTATATATATGTACACACACATAACAAAGGGATTATCACTTGAATTGTGAGAGATAAAAGTAAAAAAAATAAAAAGCTAGTTAATAAGAATTTCAAATAAAATTTATTTGATTGAAAATCGTTTTTTTGTAAAAAAAAATGCCGATCAATAGAATAGCGATCGGGGCACCGGGAGAGGCTAGCCACCCGGATGCGATCAAGGCTGCGTTCGCTGAGTTTTTCTCGATGGTCATTTTCGTGTTCGCCGGTGAAGGATCGGGCATGGCGTACAGTAAGTTTCAAAATCCTTCGTAACGCATGCGCATATATTATTTTACCCAAAAAAAACACGTGCATATATATATATATATATTCCTTTTGTCGTGGAACATGTTTTCTTATAACTTGGGATCCGCTGTACTGGTTCAGACAAGCTGACGGGGAACGGTCCGGCCACGCCGTCGGGACTGGTGGCGGCGTCGCTGTCGCACGCGTTCGGATTGGTCGTAGCAGTGTCGGTCGGAGCAAATATCTCCGGAGGGCACGTGAACCCGGCGGTCACATTCGGAGCTTTCGTAGGTGGAAACATTACGTTGTTGAGAGCCATCCTCTATTGGATTGCTCAGTTGCTCGGCTCCGTCGTCGCTTGCTTGTTGCTCAAAATCGGCACCGGTGGATTGGTGAGAAAAAACTCGTATATATATATATATATATATTACCTTACATATATATATATATATGTTAGAACATTTCTATTAGTATATATATATGGATCAGCATTTTAATCATATTAGTTTATGTATTATGCGTGTTATTTTATTAACTGGGTTTTTTATATTAAAGTTAAATTGAAATTTTGAAAAGTTTATGATTAACGTGCATAGACCATTTAATATTTAGTAGTAGTTCTCTCTATATCATAGGGACCACAATATTTTTTCTTACGACCACTTGTTTCGTTAAAAACAACGTTGTTTTTTTATATTGATCTAGAAGATTATTGTAGTAATTAATTTCTACCTTATTTAGCAGATGGTTCTGTTATGGATTCAATCATGTGTAACATGTTCTTATTTATTTATCCTGTTTTATTTCGATTATATTTTCTTTTTGAGACAAATGTTTCATAAATGAAACCTAACAAATTGTCCTAATCGATATATACATATATTATGACTTATCCAACAGGAAACATCGGCATTCGCTCTATCGTCAGGAGTGACACCATGGAACGCGGTCGTATTGGAGATCGTGATGACATTCGGGCTGGTCTACACTGTCTACGCCACCGCCGTGGACCCCAAGAAAGGCGATATCGGAGTCATCGCGCCGTTAGCCATCGGCCTCATCGTCGGAGCTAACATCCTAGCCGGTGGAGCCTTCGATGGAGCCTCCATGAACCCAGCCGTCTCATTCGGCCCGGCCGTCGTCAGCTGGACCTGGACCCACCACTGGGTCTACTGGCTCC